AGCCAAATTTTCAACGTTGAGCACGACTAGCCCTTTTGGATTTGTCCAGTTATCTTGGCGGAAAACCTAACAAAGTGCTGTACGAAAGGTGTTTTTCTGTATTTTATGTTTTAACTACTTGAGTGCCTCAAGGGTCCAATCTGGGGCCGTTGTTATTTAACATTTTTGTCAATGATTTGGTAGACAGTGTGCAGCATTCAAAGACGTTGCAGTTTGCAGATGATGCTAAGATTCGTAGCAAAATGCATTTAACGACTGTCTGCCTAATGATGCAAAACGATGTTCAGACAGTTCTAAACTGGTGCTTGAAAAATAATTTGGTACTTAACGCCAGTAACACCAAGGCTGTTTTCTGTACCAGTAAGACAAGGTGCACTGAGTACTCGTATACCACGTTAGGCTCAGCTATCGCGAGGTCAGATACTATCCGTGATCTGGGAGTGCTGTTTGATTCCTGGCTTTCGTTTACTGAGCATGTTTCGAATATTGTGGACGATTCTTACCAGGTACTAGGCGTTATTTCCCGAATGACGCAGAATTTTCGTACCTACGGTAGCATGATACATCTATTTCGCGCCCTTGTATTGTCTTAACTTGAGTTCCGCACAGTTATATGGAACACCATTGAATTTAAAAAAAAAAAAAAGTGCAGCGCCGTCTCGAGCGTGTTGTTTACGATGGATGGGTTGGGAGGCGCATTTATCTTGATTATGAATACTTACTTAATCTGTTTGACTTGGTACCCTTGCACAAAAGAAGATTAGCGCGAGTCATGACTTTTTTGTGTAAGATAGTGAACGCTACAATTGATGCACCTTTACTTTTAGGTGTGATTTCTTTCAGTGTTTCTCAAAAGCGTATCAGATTTCTATTTCTTTTCTAACCACAGAAAGTCGGTGTCCAGCCCCCGATGACACGCCTTCAGCTCTTTTATAATCGCGACAGGAGTGATTTAGAATTGTTTTCACCTATTTTAAATTTTAGAAGAGCATTGTTAGCCGCTTGACAAACATCCGTGCTCTGTTGTTCTCCGTAGTTCTCCGTAGTTTTATTTACTTCGTTTTATTCTGTCTAAATCCCGTATTGCTTGTGTGTTTGTCTGTATCTGTTCTTTTATTGTTTGTAATATGTGCTCACTAATAAGGTCTCGATCTGTTTTTTGGCACTTTAACTAGAATAAATAAATAAACAAATATTGAATTCACGACGTACGGTTGAACTTTACGATGTTTTGCACGGTTGAACCCAATAGGACTCTGTACTATCTCTCTATCGCCTCAAATAGCCTATTAGAAAAAAAAAAAGATCAGTCCCTTCGTCCGCGGCAGGCGGAACTATGAGAGAAACGCTAGAACTAGCCAAACTACAAGTTTTTGAGTGTATAGTCAAGCGTAAAATTGTATTAATGAACGAACATATCAACTGAATGCCAATGAAACTTTTCACAAAGCTCTGTTAAGATGATGCATTTATCACTCTGATTTTGTGCTTTTTAAATTTATAATTAAAAAAAATTATACTATTAACACTTCTTTTTGTGTGTGTGCACACGGAGAAAAAAAGGCAAAAACAATCTGGCTGACGCTGCAACTCGCACATAGCTCAACACGAAGGAAAAACTTCAGTTTCTTTGGCGATTTTGACTAGAAAATTACTTTCAAATTCTTGTTATATGTCAACTAAATGCTTTACTATCGTAATACATTGTACTCCACAAAAATCCAAAGGCCTTGACGCTGACAGTTTTCTCGTAGTTAGAACAGTTGAATACGCCTTGCCTCGAAATTTTCCCCTTTCAATTGTGAGGAGTGGCTGCCGCCATCTATCGTCCTATACTTCGTCTCATCCTACGATGGACTAAAGGCCAAAGCCACGGGCCGCCAGGTCCAATCACGTTCCAAGCTAAACTATGATATGGTTAGCATTGATTAGGTTTGGACGAATAATGCTTCGAATCCAAAAACGCTGCGTCATTTTTACAGCTTCGACACTGCAAACAGCCATTACGCCGTGGCTTTTTTTTTTGCAATCTAAAATTGTTGAGTCACTCACTGCTCGATCCGAACCACTCTCGTTCCATTCCCATCAGTGATCCGAGACGCGGGCACCCATACGGTCTTCGAAGCGAAATACCGCACAATGTCTAAGTGGCTCGTGATTGGATCTGGCGGTTCGTAGCTTCTGCCTTTAGTCCATCGTAGAGTGAGACGAAGTATAGAAAGCCCGTCGAGAGAGCGCTGATATGCGTGTCGGCTTCCTTGGCGAATCAGGTGTCTCGGTGCTTCGGTGGCAGCCCTTTCCTTTGGCGCAGTGCTAAAGCGCGAGAGCGTGGACATTGGAAAGCACGTGAGTTCTCTCGAGCGCGCGTGATTTCCAAAGCGCTCAGGGAGGATTCGGCGCTGTAGACCCAGGCTGTCTTATGCAAATGAGTGGAGTATATTATAATCTCCTGTAAACCATTTGTTTATGCCGTCCCACCAAAGAAACAATATAATATTAAGGAAGGGCTGTAATTAAATTCGCGCTTCTAACACGGTTAGGCAAGACGCAGGCCCGCAGCGAAGTGGGGCTCTACCTAGAAAACTAAAACGAATGCACGGAAAATACAGCGGCACAGTCGCGTCTCTGGGCTCAGTTATATAGATCAGCCAAGTCTCAGTGTTCAACTTTCTGTGTGGAGGCGATACGCCGTGGGTTCGTTTTAAGATGCGCACAGATTGCATGGGACGCCAAATCACAAAGCAACAACAAAAGCAATAACGGCCCATAAAACCGTTGCATGGAGTAGGTGAGGAGTCGTAGTGAATACGATAGCAATCAACCTTAAGTTTTTACTTTACAAAAGGTGTTTGAGTTATTTTTCTTTTTGTGTTTGTGTAATCGTCGTATGAAACCACATGTGCATAGGTGTATTGCTTATTATTTGTTGATTGTCTGTTGACGTTTCTGCTTAATCGCTCTCGCCCCACAAACGCACGAATGCCATAAAAAGGGACGTTAACTCTGTTCACGCCTGACAGTGTAGTAAGGATTATAATACCGTTAGACCGTCCTGTAATTCTGCATGATCCGCATGACTTCCAACTAGTACGTTCGCGTAGGCAGAAGATACGCCAGTGGTGCGGCAGCGGCTGTTCATTGTTGCAACAAAAATGTGTTATCAGCTCTGCCGTCAGCTTAAACCGAGATCGGCGACAAACCCTGAGTATCGTCGCTTTCAGTGCCAGGCAATGAGTGGGGCGGTGAGGACGACCAAAACGGCTGCGGACATCGAAACTGCACTCTAAACTCTTAATAACGAGAAGGTTCGGTCGAAGTTCCAGTTTAGACGGACTTTGAAATTCGTTGTCGGTTTATTCACGCACGACGTTAAACTGAACCTAAGGAAACTGTTTGTAATCTTTCCGAGAGTAAGCTGTGACTGACATGGACACTGAACTTGAGACAGGAGAGTATGGCTGTAAGTGCATGAGACACATGGACACCCGTTGGTGAATAACTGTTATAGGTCCTGATAATTTTCTGACAGCCTATTAATTTCAGCTGTGACGTCGTACAACACTATTTTTGTCAAGTGTTATAGTTCGTACGTGTTTGGATAAAAAAGGGAAACCCAAGAAACTCATCTGAACGGACATCAACCTTCATCAAGCAGCAATCTTTAAAACGCGCCCTAACGCAAGCACGTCATCTTGGTCTTTGTATAAGTCAGCTTTAAAGGGCAAACATTGTTCATATTTCTGTCATCGCGCAGCAACCAGCGCGTGCATTATATTTATACCTGCAGAGAGCAGTGTTTCGCAGTTCGCCGATGCTGGATTATTTCAAATGGTGTACGCGTGCCTCCTCTACAGCGTTAGTAAGGGTAATGTCTAAATTTAGTTGTTTTTATGTTCGTCTGATTCATTGCTGTCTCGGACGGACAGGGCGAAGAACCATTTATATCCAACACCAGTCATTTTTTTTTTTCTGAGGCAAATGAAGAGTGTAATGGGATTCCAGAACGTGGAGTTATTTTCTGTAACGTGTGTCATTTGGCGTTTTAATTAGAGCATATGTTTCCCCAATTTAAAAAAAAAAAGTAGCATGAACTGTGTCACTGTGTACTAGCATTTCCTTTTTTTCAAATATTCAGCCTGGGTCCTTACATGGCTAAATTCAAGCTAAAATGTATTCCTTTCTGTTGTGTTCACGTGCTTCTTAGCTGTGAGAAGTTTCCACAATTTTCTAAGTTATTTTGTTTGCCGCACGTTCGGTGCAACTTTGAAACTCTCTCTCAACCTCTCCTGTAACGGCCTTCAAGAGAAAGCCGAAAGTTTGATAAATAAAAGTATAAATAAAAAAAAACGTTCATAATTTTATACATTTGAGCATCCGAAATTTTCAACCTGATCTATGTGGCACATGATAAGGGTGTATTTTATTTACTTTTAGATAAAATAAGGTAATAAACCGCTGTAGACATTGCATGTCCATTGCTTGTGTATTTCCAGTAATAATAAAAAATTCAATTCAAGCAAAATAGTGAATAAATAAATAATTTTATGTGTAATTTATAAGAGGAGTTCGTTATTTTTTGTTAAATAATCTAATCGTAAATTATTGCTTTTTTGCAGTAGCGGGCACGAGTCGAAGCGTGGAAGCCTTTCTGTTTGGGTTATGTACTCGGTATAAATGTCCAATGCTTCACTATACTTCACAGAATTTGTATGTCACCCTAGATGTGTAAGTTTGAATGTATTAGCAGTTCCGTACCGTTATTCAGTTTCCGTAACCTTCGTGATATCGTGATGTTTCGTTAATACGGAATACGTTAGTATGCATACTGACCTATATGAACAACATTTAGGGGAACGAACTGGATGAAGACATGCCTTTCTGTCTTGATATTATGGACAACTCAAGTAATGAACTTTTTTGCGGGGAACTGACCTATTTCTACTAACGAGGCGTGACTGCAATAGTGTGCACGAGGAGAAGTGAAAAACTTCCTCACTCACCTGTGCAGCCATGATGCGCTGCCGCTCCGCGATGAGGTTGCACTTTGCGCAGGCGCACTCCTTAAAGCGGCACTGCCGCTTGTGTCCCTTGAGCCACGATATCATGCCGTGGTTACGGCAGCGGGCGCACTTGGGTCGGCGGGCCCCCGAGCTCCCTGAGCCAGCGGGGGCTGCCGACGAGCCTGTGGGGCTTGGAGAGGCGCGTCTTTGCAACGGCGAACTCATGCGCACGATTCCAACACAACTCGCTGAAGCAGGTCTTCCACAGCTACGTCCTTCCTATGGTACGTAGGAGAGGTGCATTAAAGAGAGCTCAGTGTTCTCAAGACTGTCTTTCATCGTTCTTGTCCTTGTGACGAACAGGCTTCGGGTATCACTACCCTGCACCTCAGGTGGACGCGCGCACTAAATGACAAGTGGTAGGTTCATCATTATTGTTCTACTAGTCATGTTCTCAATGACACTTCACAAACCGTAAGCCTATTGCTGCGCATTGAGTCATCTTGAAACCGTCGACGCTTTGAGGGATGTCTGTTTTCTTCAAGGGCAACCAGATATGGACCACAGTTTTCCAACGCAGCTGGGACTGAGGTCTGGGGTTACCAGATTGGATAGCGAGAAGCTAGTCAACCCCTCGGAGACACTCCACGCACATGAGGTCTATAGTTAGCACCTTGGGTTGGTGTGCCTGGTCATCATCTTGATGGTCGGCTGATGCGCTGGCTGCGTTGAGAATATTTCCAGACGCTTGTCACAGCTTCTTGAGGCATTCGCGGAAACTTCTATCTAAAGTGGCCGTTTTTGAGAGTGTCTGAGCAGCTACGGCACACATCAGAGGTGAGAGATGGCTGTGCGAAATAGTTGAGTCTTAGTCCACGACACCGCTTCAGTGGGGTTACTACTCCGGGAAACTGTTGTAACAGGTCCGTTTAGAGATAGTCAAGAGATGGTACAAAAATTAGTTATTTGCCGCAATGGGAACATCGTAAGCATACCGCTTGGAGTCATAAGCACTTTTTGCGTTTATGTGTTTTACTGTTCTTGCTTTCAGTTCTTCTTGAAGTCTTTTCAGCAACCTGCCTGATGTGTGCATCTTGAACCGCCAACTGCCTCTCCTTTTTGACGCGAGGTCACCAACACAAGAGATAGTTGCATTTAGGTATCCTACCACTAGAACTTCAAAATTTTAGATGTATTGTCTCAACAGGACCCACGTTCAGGATGAAATTGCGACAATCGGAGCATAGATCTCTTATGTACTTGTTACCCAGACAGATTCGGTTGTCGAGGCTTCGGCTAGCCTTCAAGTATAACTGGTGGGCTCGAATCTCTCGTTCTTTCCTCTTTTTTTTTTAGCTTTGAAAATTGAGGGGGGGGGGGGGCGTTAATCAAAATCTACCAAGTAAATCCTCATATCTCTCAAAACATGTTTCTCAGCGACTCGTACTTTCATGTCTCTGCCCTTGGAAAATCTTTTTGTCGTCTGTTCCTTGACAAGGACTTGAGTGGAGACGGTATTGCGGTGGGTTCCCGCGTAGCGCCACGGCACTAGAGTGCTCATAGCCTTGATCGACGCTCGTTCCCCTGTCATATTGTGATGGGCGTGAGTTGAGAGGACGGCTTGTATCCCATCAGAAGATTCTTGGCGGGATCCGTGGTGATGCACTCCTGGAAAGATAAGATGCACGTTTATCTTTAGTTATTTTTGTGTTGCTAAGGGTTTTTACCAAAGTTTTCTTGAGGTCACGTTTACCTCCAATTATAATTTTGAACAATCACTTATATTTTTTTAATAAAATAACAGTTAGTAACGAAACATTTGCATAATGGTTTGAACCACTAAGGCTGTAGGTTTGGGTGAGAAATGCAATTTTGGCGATGCGTAGGTTATTTTGGTGGTAAAAAAAGCCCCGCATGTTTTCGGGGGACACACTGGACATTATATCAGGCGGTTTCACTAAATGTTTTTTGTCTTTCCGGTAAACCGCACACCGCTATATGAATACACAGCATCCGCTACTTTCCCAATTTGTTTTCGCGTACGCTTAGCTATTGGTATCGTTTCTGCTGTTGGTGAACTCTGAAGCATAACGGGGAGCTCCGTCGACTACAGGACTCAGTATGTACTACGAATAGGGACGTATTTTGGTTGATACATCCAAGAATATACTGATTTGTTTCCTTCTGAGTCACCGCTGCAGCCTCTATACTGGGGCTTTTATGACCGGCCGCCAATTGGTCGACTGGTCGATCGCCGGCTCGTCTTAATTACGAATAAAATCCGATAGGCATGAAAATCTAGTATTAGATGTTGCTACTTTGTGTCGCTGACTTCCGCGGTGGACGCAATCGATCATGCCGCGAAAAAGCTAGACGAAGCTCAAACACACTGTCGCCGCACTTAGATACACACACGGCGAAAGTTGATCACCATGGCGTCCGGTGAGATTTCAAGCTGGAAAGACGTCCCATTAAACCACTCTAGGTATAGACCCAGTTATCCCCCTGAAAACTAAGTGATGAACGTGGCGCATAAACTGAAATATTCCGGTCGCGGGTCATTTTAGCTGATTGCTGGTGTAATACGATGTTTGGGCGTATAGGCTGAGCAACCTCTTCAACTTTACGACAATTCTTGTTCCAATTCGATCGGGCATTGGAAGGAAATTCAGTCCTCAGTTCGCTGTTTCCTTCCGATAAATCTCTCGTTACCCTTATATAGGCTAAATACCGGAGAGCTCAGAAGAAGTTTTTAACGTAGCCAGAGGCCAAGGCGATGCTTTTTATATAATTATCTTCATGAAATATATAATAAGCTCGAATGTGACAACGAAAGAATCCACAGGTTTTATCGGGTCCATCAGTTGTTTCATTAAGATAGTTGCTAGTCCAGCGGTGTGTCTGCCTTTTTGTTCGTCTGTGTGTGTGTCTGTCCCTGAAACGTTCTGCTGGCATTTTAACAAACATCAGTTGTACTCTCTAACGCACTCTACCTGCAGCTTAATGATAAGTTTTCTCAATTCTACTTGCTTGAATTACAGTTCGTGGCATGTAAATTTCCCCAAAAAGCTTTTTTTTTTTTTTTTACGTAGCCAGAACTTTATTTTCTACCATTCACTCGAAAGTGAACGGCAATCGTCGCGCAAAATATGCTAACTCGTTGAAATAGTAAATTCCAAAACTAGGGCTAGGCAATAGACACTCTTCGAAAGTCCGCGCCAACGTTTGTCCGCCATTGTTCGATCACATACCTTGAGCATGTATTGGACACGAAGACAGCGTCAGCGTTCGGAGTGAACTCGGCTCAGATCGTATTGGACACAAACGCTGCGTCAGCGTTCGGCGATCGTCTCGGATCCAACACACCTCGTGTCCAAGCGGGCGGATCGGTGGCCGAGGGGGCTGAAGCGCACACCCAGCTCGACGCGCGCGGAGCGAAAGCTCGCGCTGCAGAAACCGGGGATCCTGGGTTCGAGCGCCACCCCTGCCCGTTTCAATCTGGATGAGCTTCGTACCGGCGTGCGGTCGTGTGTCACTACTACAGTGTACTAGAATACTTGGGTAGTGTCAGAGCCGTATATGTAGAGAGTTTGGTCAATGGTAGGTGCGGGCAGAGCCAAGGCGTGCGGTAGACTCGGAAAGAGGGCCTGGCATGCTCTGTTGACCAACCAGAAGCCGAAAAGAATCCCCTAGTGGTGGTAGCGAGAAACAGTTCTGATCGAAGGTTCATGTTCGTATAAGGTTTTAATAAGTGCATAAGAGTGAAGTGTAGTAACTCTTTGTGGTTGAAAATAGGGTGCAAGTGTTGTTTTGATCATGATCATGCAGAAAGGTGTAAGAAACGAATGCGCCGCTCAACTTTGTTTTGCGCGGACAGAATGTGACCGCTCGGACGGCTTGGACGGCCGATTCCCGGCCCTCGGCGTTTGGCGTACGGATTATATCGATCGTTCCACTAGTCGCACTCTTCCATTATCATTTTGGATGAGCGTGATTGAAACATCACGTGTACCATATTTTCAGCCATCGAGAGTTACTCCAACGCAGTTATCAGGTTTGTTTCTCGCGACCACCGCCAGGGTATTATTTCCGGCTTCCGGTTGGTCACATTCGAATTTCTAAAGACGCCCTAGAACGCGCCCAGCCCGCTTTCGGCCAATGGCGCCTCCTCATTTGTCTCCTATACTTCCCAACGAATGGCCAAACTCTCTACATATGCGGCTCTCGGTAGTGTTGGGACCGGAGCGGCTCGGCAACGGGAGCTCGTGAGGGCGCGTGTATTGACAGTTCGTGGCGGCGCTGTAGTCGAGTTATCCAAAAAAAAATCGCGCAGCCCGCCTTTTTTTCTTTTTTCACTTTGAGCGCTGCACGTGTCGGTACCCCGATTTTATAGACGCTTTCAGGCAGCTGTGCATGGGCGCCGCCATAACCGACCTTCAGTTTTTGTTCCCGCTTATTCCGTTCGCTTCACTTCATCATTACCACAGCAAAACAGGTTATTGCCATTTTAGATTCTACTGCGTCCTTCTCCCCAGCCAAGGCCTTTGTGGAGGTTCGGCAACGCCCGCTTCAGTGGCTCGGCATCTCGGTAAGACAAGAGAAGGTCGGCTATGGCGGCTCGATCTGGCGCGCGCTGAAAGCGTCTATACACTACGTTTCACCTTATGTTGTAGCGCAGCGAAGGCTAGAAGGGCGAGCTCATAGCGTTGGCAGCTGTCCTTTGTGCACGAGAACTTGTGCAGCCGAGATGTGCCCCAGAGCAAGGAGCTCGCGCTTGTAGCCTTTCGTGTGGTACAACACAAGGTGAAAAAAGTATAGGGCACATAAAAAAAAAAAAAAAAAATCGATATTTTTAATTTTTTTTTTTCGTTAGGCAAAGGGTCAATGAACGGTTTACTGGGCAAAGTTGCAGTTGCAGCTTTGAAGGGAGCCATTATTAAAGGCCAACCCAATTTAGGAAGTTCGCGAACAAACAACGAGCTTTGAGCGAAAGCAACAAGGCGCTCCTTTTTGTTGTGTTTGTCCGTCCCTTCTCGTTTTCTTCCTCAAGCTTAATTATTTCTACCAACCCGCTCGCTCTGTCCTGAGATATTTATCGCTAAAATTTTGCCTTTCTTCGCTTAATTAAAAAACCGCGCGCTGAAACTGCGAATGAGGTAGTGCTGATATTGATGCGGAGAAGAATGACACAGTTGTCTCTGTCCCTTCGTCCCTAACTCGACAGC